TTAAAGATTATAAGTCCTTTTGCAATGAAAAGTTACATATTGACACACTTCATCACACTAGTATTTAACATCATGGCATATAGACTGAGAGTTTTAAAGTTCTGTAATAATAAATATATTCTATAGTTTTACTTTCCGTTATTTAAGTGTCATGCACATATAAGATAATTGACATGAATCGATTTAAATACTGTAACTTCGTCCAACTACAAAAAAGGTAGCTCTACTGGACTTTTCACAACCCTAACACTCTTTATTGTAGTAAAGGTCCATGCAAATACAAAAGGACACATCGTATATATCTGGAAGTACTGATATTCACTCACACAAAGTTGAAAAAAATCTTATAAATGTTAAAACACCGGCTTTTATGTTAAAAACAAGAATTATTGTATCTCTCGTTACGAGCGGAAACAATCCGCGCTTTTCCCGGTACCGGTTCTAAATCGCGATCTTTGTTGCGATTTAAAACATCGCTGACAACAGGATTTTCGTAAAATTTTCTATATTTTGGCCTAGCACAACCTTTTAATCTAAAACAAGAGCCATCAACTGAATAAAATTATTTTTTGCATTTAAATACGAGCTTAAAACTTGCTGGGGGTTTCTCCAATTTTATCTCTGAGAGTCGTACGAAGTAAGCAAAGTTGACAAAATCACGGAATTTGACCATCAGAGATGTAAAATTCATTCCAAATAAACAATTTAAAACAACTATTCTAACCCCCAGCACTTTTAAGTAACCTTTGTAGTTGGTTAACTTACTATTAAAATTTGACAGAGAATGGTGAAGCGTAAAAGGTTGTGCTCGAGCCAAATACAAACGACAGTTTTAACTCACGAAAACGGCACGTCACGTGACAGAGATAGGGTCACGGGGTCATATTTTTATGTTAAATGATGAGAAATGGGACGACCTTTCATTATTGCCCATGTACGACCATGGAATGTTCTCAGTAAAGCCAAAATGGACAATTCTCTTTTTACCCCCCTTTTTTCGTCATTTTTACAAAATTGCGTCCTTAATGTAGCTGCGAAGTTGAAAAGCATTGAGGTCCTAAAAATCCGAAATATTTTGCCTCTAATCCTGGGGAAGAAATCCTTAGTATTTCATAACGTTTTTTTTTTTTCATATAAAAGTTCAAAAATCTTATAGATTACAAATAAGTAAAAATCTACGTTTTCTAATAACGAAATTAAATGGAACCGATAGACTTATCCCAATTTTCAACTTAAAGAGACAAATTCCCCAAAAAATGATTTCGACATTTCTGAACTAAATTATCCTTCTAAAAAACCTTTTCCCTGTTAAAAAATAATAAATACATGGATAACGATAGAAAGAAAGAATGAACATCTGATAGGGGAAAACAACGTGTAAAATATCAAATAATAAAGCGTTCGTATGCAAAGTATATTAAAATATTTGTCAAAATCGAAACCATGAAAAGAAATTGGAATCGGTACTTGCAAATTAAAGATTTACTTTTTTAAGATTAGACGACATTCATCGATCAGTCAGATTTGCTTCAAACTCACGTCGCCATTCTGTCAGAGTTATAATGAAAATCGTGGACTAATGGGCGGATCGGACAGATCGGACGGTTGACTTTTCTAGCGCATTGAACTAGACTACGTCTAATGTTGATCTCATACAAATTATGTAATCTTAGTTTTGTTTAATTTGATGGAAATGGCGCCAAGAAAACAAAATCCTTAATTTTAACGCGAAAGATACCAAAAGGTACATTCATACTCATTTGTACAGAATCTTTTATTTTCAACCATTCAGCAAATTTGAATCACTGTAATTTTACGTTTGTAAGAGGAGAAAAGTGAAGTATTAAGATGAAACTAAATCTTATTCTTATTATTAACATGATTAAGGAATTGCAATTTTTTGTTAATATGTAGATATTTCTTTATCAAACACGATCAGTGCACAAAAAGGAGTTTATCGTAATTTCTAAACTTATCAAAGTTTGCTGAAAAGCTATAAAAATCAAACAATCAAATATTGCAAATTTCGGTGCACAATTTTCAATAAAATAAAGAAATCGTGTACGTTTAATTGCTTTAAACTAGAATCTTATAAATAAACTGGGTGATTAATTATCTTTACTAAACGTTTAATTATCTTTAATAAACGATTAATTATCTTTAATAAACGTTTCGTAACAAAAAATTCCATTTTATCACTGAATACATGGACACAAACAAGCTAATTAGTTTGTAATACAAATGTGTTAGTATCTTTTCACTGAATTTCATATATTTAATGAAGAAACAAACATCCAGATGTACAAAAAGTACTAATACCAAATGACGGTTGATGAGCTCTGTTAAGATAAAGAAATTATTGCACAACACACACCTCGAAGCTTTTCAACTTCATACTTTATTTTGCCTTATTTGATTCCAGCGTCAATGGTGAGTCTATTGTTGACGAAACGCGAGTAAAATTTTATTGTCTTTTCTTATCTCACCTGCGAAACAACTTATCCGAATGTTCGAAATGCACCTAAAAACGTATAAGTTTGAATGTCCCTTTTGTTATTTTCGCCTAGATTTTGAAATATTTTTGTGACTTCAAATTTTATCGTTCAGACCAGGATATTTCAAGATAAGTTATACGAACCCGGGATAGTTGAAATTTTCTTCTAAATTTTAAAACGGCCTTGGGATAATGGTAGTCCCTATAGCTAGCTGAAAAGGTTAGACTTTTAAAACAATTTGAGGTTGCTATAAGTATTCATGTGCATGATGATTTATATATATGATCCGATTTTTTTCGAATCTGAAAACGATACAAATCTGATCGTTTCTTTTCCGAAAAGATTGCCTTGTTTCCAAATACTTAAATAAACTAGTGGTTTATCGTAAAACAATAGGTCATTATTTATTTGATTAAGTTTTTTCACTTTTCTGGCTTTTTATGCAGTAGGAAACGTTTAAAGTACTTATGTTAAAAATGAAAAACAACAAGTTATAAACTTCATGCATTCGTAGCGCTTTTCTTGATTTATATTCACCAGGGACACTCAAAGCCAAATATATGAAACTAAGGCTGCAGTTGAAGAGCAATATAACCAATAAGGACATTAAGAATAGCCAAATCAATCAAAATGTCAACTTTGCCTGATAGATATATGTTCTAATAAATTTCTTGATATTAAAAATGGGCATTTAGAATTAATGATAATTATCCAACAACCGGTTACAAATTCACTGTTTATCTACCATCAATATGGCTATATTGGTAACGATTATGATGATATCCTTCAAGACTAAGAGGTGAACACATTCTTTCTAAAGAGACTAAAATATTCTCCCGCATTTATATAAATGGGAGATTTAATGAAATAACAAGTACTTACTATATATTAAACTGTTTTACTTAGAGGTGAAAACCAAGTTGAATGATATTATACAATTATAGCCTTTGTATGAGATCGATACAAGGATATATTGACCTGAAAAAAGTCCGAAGTCGATACACTTCTTTGGGTCAATATATCCTGTATTGACCTCATGCAAAGGCTACAATTGTTATATTATAAATTTGCGACCATTTTCTCTTTTTCGATCATTTAATTTGTTGGAATTTTATAGATACCATATTATTTCTTTAACAATAACAAAATATTGGCTGTGATTTCAATAATTTTTTATGTGTTTTTGTGTATATCTCATGTACTTGAAGATTTTTTTTGTAGATAATCGATCATAAATATACACTTTTCAAATACTTTCAACAATATCTTGTATTCATTGGACGACGTTTCCATAACAAGTCAGATTTCAGTTACAATACGATTTCAAAGAACTTACTGTTCACTTACATGTGATTTCAGTACTAACGGATTCTGAAGTTTAAAAATCAGTTTTTACCTTGAATCATGGTATAGAAGACCAACTTAATAATTGTGCCTTTCCTGTGCTTTTCCAACGTGTGGTTTTACTTGAATTTGCTTATTATTGAAATTAATTGTTTGGAAAAGGAAATAAACATTTTATGATTTTAACATATTTCTTATACGCATACTGATAAAAAAGAAAAAGGTGTGGTTTGATTACCACTGTATCAACTCTCTATAAAAAATTATGATAAACTTGCTAAATTTTCGTTCCATTATAAATTTTAATAAATACTTCTTACAAATGTTTTTCATCAAGATGTTGCAGTCGATCCTGTGCTTCTTTCATTTTTCCCTCTTTTTCCGTTATGGACATTTTCGATGCGCTTAATTTCTCCTGTATTCTATAAGTAAGTTTTTCAGTAAAAAACATTTGCCATCTGTAATAAACATATTACAAATTTACAAAAGGTGTGACCTTAAGGAATAGCAAACAATGAAAGAAACCAATAACCCAATTTGCCAATTATCACCTTCTAACGTATCTAAATGAAAATATAATGTTGCAATATGAACTGTTTGAAATATCTTTTCACCTATAACTGCAAAATGACTTATTACATTCATATATTGTGACTGATATTTTTATGCTAATCTTCAATGAACAAGTTTGATTGACACAAACGACCCTAGACGCGTTATATCGTTTTGTCATATTTGTCTACAAGTGTAACCGAAATTAAAGTAAGTAATTTTTTCTGCAATATATCATGTCTGGTATCGTTCAAAATCCTTAGTTTTCATAAAGCTCACGACTTTAATTATAGATTATTTACTTGCTTCTGCTAAGTATTTCCATCTGAATTATGTATGTTATTTATTCATGTGTTATTTGACTTGTTCCTATACTGTGCGGTTAATAGTTCAGATTTATTTCAAAAGCTGTAACAATATCATTTATATTATAGAAACTAGGCATTAACGTTTAGTGTCTTAATTTATTAGCAATTAAATAATACGATTGCACCGTAAAAAAATGTAAAAAAATGTAGTTATACATCAAATGACGTTAGTATTCGAATGCATTGCTTTTATAATCCGTCATGTGCAAAAGATTAGATAGTTTGCAATCAAAGGACTCACCTTGCATGTCTGACAACTTTAGCTTCTAATGTAGCTGAAATCATTCTGCGGATGCCACTGACAAAGTAATCATAGTTTTCCGATGGTGACCCAAGTTTTTTAATTCTTTTTTTCTCCTGTAAAACATGTTTTCGGGTAAAAGATAAATAATCATATTATTTTAAGACCCTTAACTTACATTATAGCAAAAAAAAAGTGGAGGAAAAACATTGCTAATTTTCAATCAGATTTTCTAGATGAAAATCATGCACATGATTCTTTTAACAATGTTCATTTTGTTGATTGAGCGGTTGCAATTCTGTTAACAAATTGAATACAAAAAAGTGTAATGAAACTTATATATCAGGCTTTGTAATAATAATATTGATTTTCAGTATTTCAATTAACCAATTCATTCAACCTTTTTAGGCGAGCTTCTATTGTTTTACACCAGAAAAATAACTGGTCTTTAATTGTATCATAAAAAATTATCCCACAGAGAAATGTCCTTTCAACCTTGCAATCCTTCTCTCAGTGCTCACAATTTCTTTTTTCATACATGTATGAAGGAATTACTTTGCATACGTTTTTTATCACATGATAACTTATAATGTGCTAAATGTTTTCACTGATCTAGATCAAAATTGTAAGGCTGGTATCTCCAAAACAACTATTATGATACATTTGTTTCTGTCTGTCAGCAATATATTTGTTCTATTAAAACGTATAACGTAGTTATTTGCCTCTAATGTAATTCGTTTGATGTCAGATCTCTGATTAACTCAGATTTAAAGCATGTTTAAGACATGGATATAATGTGTCAATACATGTTTGCTGCTGAAGACCTCGTTTTTGTAATCACAATTCTTATCTTGATATTTGAAATACAATATATGACAAGTGTTTTTTTTTAATGAGTGGCATGTATTCAACAAGAAAATGTAGCTTCCTTAGCTAGCTTCCTGAACAAGGGAAAACGTTTCGACCCTGCTACCCATATTGCGCACGATATTTCAGTTGCTTGTGTCAGTTAATACTATACGTGTGATTCTTATTGATATGAATCGCTATGCATACACTTTATGCATTATACATGTTATATAATATGTATTATCCATTACCTTTGCAACGCTTAGTTTAAAGATCTGTAAACTTTCATCAAAATTTGGCCAATCGGACTTTAACTTGTTAACGATGAATTGAAATACTTCATCTTGTTCCTTGGGATGCACTTGATCCCACTTATTACAAACAAACATGGTTGTTTCCGGTCTAAAGTCATGCATGTGTCCATTTTTCTGCTGCTCAGTCAGGTGTTCGATAATTTGCAGTAGCTGAAATTAAAAGTCCTTTTATATGTTTTAAATTAACAAAAATCGCTTAACAAGCTTGATCCCTCTTTGGGCATCTCCAGTTTTTGATGGGGTTCGGATTGCTCAATCTTAAGCTATGTATTGTTCTGTGTCGTCGTTTTTGGCCCTGACTTTATCAATTTGTCTTCGACTGATGAGTATGCATGTCCATTTCTACCTTAGTCTTCGCTATAGCATATGTTTTGTTAATAATGTCTAAGGAAATACACAGGCCCATATACAAATCACGTGTGTCACTGTTCAGTAAAAATAATTGCGTTTATTTTTTTTTATATAAAAACTTTTATTTATCATTCAGCTTAAAACTCTTTTACAAAGTTTATCATTACATATAGGAAACTATATATAATACGACAAAACAAATTTGGAAGGAAACTATATAATTACAATACATAGTATATCATTATTCCTTAAATGTATCGTTATTTTAATCGAACTGATTACTGATGTGTTTAAGCATGACTTTATCTTTGTGAATTCAAGACACATGGAAAATAAAATATTCAATTATTTTAATGCTTCAAACTTTGCCATAAAGAAATTGCTTTGTTTGCAATTCTTCATAATTAGTTTTTTATTCAATTTTGTTAAATTATATTGGAAGAACAAACCCACAAAAAGGACAGTTTAGGCAATAGGTGATATTTTTATTATTTTTATCTTACATGTTAAATAATGTAGAATTTAAACTAAAAAAGACACAATGTTTTTTTTTTTATAAAATGCAGCAATAAAAATACATTTCTCCTTGAAACATAGTTTGTACTTTCTTCCTAATCCGTCCATAAAATTTATTGAAAAAGGATAAGTCATTGCTATTAAAATTGCCGTTTATACGGTATTCAATTGAGAGGTTGTCACCTATGCTATATTTCGTCTCTGATTAACAGGTGTCAGTTTTGATCCCGTATTTGTTCTTAATTCTCATTCTTATCCATTAGAATTTAAAAACATTATTTTGTCGGTTAGTTTATTTGCATCAAACCTTTGTTTGGACATATAATCCATCTACGATTCGTACTGATATGTTACAAAATCAGAAATATTAAATTATTCCACCTCAGCAATGAATGATGCATTTTTACTTATATTTTTCTATTCGATATCGTTTTTGGTTCACCTTTTAATTTTCTGTTAATGTGTTCCGTAAGTTATGAATTTAGTCACTTCTCAGTGAAGGATTTGGATTAATTAAGTTTTCTCATAATAAATTGACGTCATGTGCAAACAGCACTTGATCATTGGAATTCAAGCTTATCTATAAATAAAATTTCATTGGAATCTGCGTTCGAAACGTAGCAAAAGATATGGACAGGATCATATCTATCCGTTTTCAGTCCATATTATTGTCCGTCTGTCGTTTTGATTACACTAGTGTCTACAGGCTAAAGGGATTTTGGTATAAGCAATGTCAAAAGTAAAACTAAACAATGTTTCGGACAAGTTCTAAAATGAAAACGAATTTAATTTTGTTTGTTTTTTTAGTGATTACCGGTGACAAACCAATATTGGAGATTCCCATGCCCACATTTTGCAAATAAAAAATAAAGTTAGATAATCGACACATACCAAACATTTTTAGAGTAATCTCTCTTAGAACTTGAAATACATTGAACATCAACATTTAAAGATCCTTATTTTTATGTTCTCCTTCTGTATACTTACCCAATCATCATTTGTAACACCACCTGCGTTCCCCGCATTTATAACGTAGATAAATGCAATTGCATTTGGAAGATATTCGAAAAGCCGTCCTGTTTTATTTTTTCCAACTCCAGGAGTGTCCACAATTATAGCATGGTTCTACCATTTATGAAATCATATATTAAACTCATTTAGTTGTTTAATACTTGTATTTACTATTATTGTTAAATATGTAATTGTGTGCTTCAATAACCAATCAAAACCCTTATTTTCAATTTATGAACCAATATAGATAATAAACAATTTCTCGATATTCATGCGATTAAATGTAAACAAAAATTTTATTTAGGTTCTTTAAACTGAGTTTTACAGTGCGTATTGCTGTGTGTTTGTATAATCTACATTGGCTAGATGTATAGGGCATGTAGGGGGAAGGTTGAGATCTCACTTAACATGTTCAACCGCGCCGCATATTTTCGCTTGTCCGAAGTCAGGAGCCTCTGGCCTTTGTGTGTCTTGTATGTTTTTTTTTAATTTTAGTTCAATGAGAGTTTAGGAGTTTAGTATGACGTCCTTTTTTCCCTAAACTAGTACACATTTTTGTATAGGGGACAGCTAAAGTCCGACTCCGGGTGCGGGATTTTCTCCCTGTGTTGAAGGCCCATTGGTAGCCTTCGGCTGTGTTATTTTACTCTTTTGTCAGGTTGTTGTCTTTTTGACACATTCCCCATTTCCATTCTCTATTTTATCTTCTCATAGAGTTGGATACACTATACTAGTATATCATATTTTCAAAATATTGGTATATTGATACATTATTTATCAAAACTTACGAGATATAAGCACAAATGTATTTTAATATTTTAAATCAGGAACACATATTTCAAAATATTTCAGGTCAATTGATATAAATAGTTTTAACAGAATGTTTTAATTCTGGTAATTAAAGTCTGATGATGAAAGAGTACAAAATACGTTAGATGAATGTATGCATGCATGCTAGATGAGTAAACTATGTGTTTTATGTAACAATATATCATTAATTACAAACGTCTTTTTTTCAAAAAGAAAACAGGCAATGAGATCGAAATTTGAAATTTGTTGTGTACAAGACGAATACTCCTTACGCCCAATATAGGTTACTTAACACTTGCTTATATTTAGTCGTTTTATTTCTATATTAACTCGTGAAAGTCTTTGCGGATAATCAGATACAAACTTCCCGTTACGGGTTCCAAGAGATTGAAGAGAACAGTTTTGTTTTATATTAGAGAACAACACGTTATAAATTTCATGCGTCCGATGCGCTTTTCTGGATTTACTTCCATCAGGAATGCTTGAAGCCGAATATTTGGAAGCAACGGATGTATAAGAGTTAAGACATGTGAATGGCTATATGATAAAAAAAAAGATAATAAAAAATAGCCAAATCTATTTAACTTTGCCTGAGGGAGTAGAACCTTAATGATTTCGAAATTTATTAACAGACAATTTTAGAAAGGTTTGTTATAGATATTGTTAGTACCCAAGTAAAGACTACTTGGCTGATGATACCCTCGGGGACTAATAGTCCACTAGCAGAGGTATTGACCCAGTGCTGTAAAATTTAAAATAACACGTTATAAATTTCATGCGTCCGAAGCGCTTCTCCGGATTACAGATAAAAGATGCTAGGCAAACAAAAGTAATTCCTTTTTTAATTTTTTAGAAACATACCTGTAACATTGGTATAGGTAAATATATATCAACATATTTGCAATTATCAGGGTTCGACCTGCTGCCAACATGTTTTTCCAAAGTATCTTCCATTTTTACTTCTTCATCTTTTGTAAAGGGAGTTACTGTCTTTTTATCCTCATAATCCGTTAAAACTATTTGCCTGGTTTCGCTGTTTCGTAGTCTGCAAATTGTTGTAGTGCATGCTAGTTGTCTCTCTGGTAAAATTGATGTTCCAACAAGGAGATTGATCAAACTACTTTTACCAGCCGATATTTCTCCTAGAAAATTATACAAACTTAAAACAGCAAATTCCAAATGTTAGCATTTAAGTTCTTTGTTCTTTTTTTTCGGCTGTCGGAACCCACATTTGTACTTTGTCGAATTAAATTGGTTTTGTATACTTATGAAAAGAAAACAATATATCATTAACTTCATCTTAAAGACTTAACATAACCTTGCTCATGTTGCTAGATAAATAGTATGATAAGTTATAATTTAGTAAACAAGAAGATGCAAGATGATCTTTCAAAATGATAGCATAGACTTTTTAAACATGTTAGATATAGTATTTCGTTTTTGTCGTTTCAATGGTATACATCTTATAAAATTCCAGGTTATTTAGTAGATCGGTTCACTGCTGTAATATTTTTAAAAGGTAAAAGAAATAGAATTTCATTTTATTAATAGGTAAAAGAAATAGAATTTCATTTTATTAATAGGTAAAAGAAGTAGAATTTTAGTTTTGATTGAATTCAGATAGTAGTCATTATTTCTATATTTATCAAACTACTTGGATTATCATAAAACTCTACAACTATCTCAATTATACATTGATCTTCGATAATGCCAAGGTATTTGGTAGTTTGGTTTATTGCTGTCAAATTTAAGTATTCAATTGAAAAAGAAAAAAGTGAGAATTTTCAGTTCTGATTAAATTCAGATAGTCACCATTAATTTTTTTAATGACTTTTTCAAATCATCTTGTATTGTCATCAAATTTTGCAGCCATCTTAATTATATATATCTATTTGTAGTTTAGTGTATTGCTATCGAATTTAAGAATTTCTTTAATAGGCAAAAAAGCTAGAATTTTCAGTTCGGACTAAATTAAAAAAGTCACCTTTAAATTTTTTTATAAGTATTCAAAAACAACTTGGATTTTCATCAAATTCTACATCTATCTTAATTATATATTGATCTTACAAAAGACCAGGGTAATTGGTTTATTGCTTTTAAATTTAGATATCTAATTTATAGGTATCTATACATGTTTATCTGAATTTAGTCAAAACTGATTTTTTTTGCTTTTTTACCTATTAATTGAATCCTTAAATTTGACAGCAATAAACCAAACTACCAAACAACCTGACATTCTGTAAGATCAATGTATAATTGGGGTAGGTGTAGAGTTTTATGAAAATCCAAGTTGATTTGAAAAAGTTATTGAAATAATTAAAGGTGGGTATATCTGATTTTAATCAAAACTGAAATTTCTCGCTTTTTTACATATTAATTAAAACCTTTAATTTGAAAGCAATGAACCAATCTACCAAATAACCTTGAATTTTGTAAGATCAGTATATAATTGAGTAAGATGGGCTGATTCAAACCAGTCGAGACTAAATGTCAAGGTCAAGTTTGAGTCTAGACTGTTCGAGACGGGTCGAGACTGAGTCAAGACTGGTCTAGACAGGTCGAGACTGAGTCGAGACTGGTCAATCATTTGTCTAGACCTTTTTCGACTATACCAAGACTAACAAGTACTAAAACAGACGTATCAAGTAAAGTCGAGACAAAATTCGAGTAAAGTTAAGTCCAGTTAAGTACTGTCGAGATTATGGCTAGTCTTGCAAGTAAAATATGTGCTCGACCTAACTGGTTGAACATAAAATATGGTCTTTTCAGACTCAGAGTAGTTTGTGGTGATTTAAAATATCAACTTTATTTAAATATGATAGAAACCAAAAATAATCAACATTTGTGGTGAAAGCAGAACTATGGAAAATGAACTTGGTATAGATGAGATTGAAAAAATAAGTTATGAAAACTATCTGTCTGGCTATTTTCACAACGTTGAACCCTGGCCCTTTTAAGAGTTAATGTCCTACAACCCCCCTTTACTACACATTTTGTGGCATTACAAACATGGAAGAACAATTCACACCTAAATCGAAAAATTCCTTTTTGCAATTTTAGTCTAAGGTGTCTGTAATGATCATGACTGGATCTGATTTCATAAAACATTTTAATGTAGACACGTTTGAGAGATTTTCAACTATTTCCACGACTGGGCGTTCATAATACGTCGGAAAGCGAGCATTTGTAACAACAATTTTACTGATATTAAAGCATGCCATTCTGAAGTTTGTTTATTTAATCTAAAGGCGGCAGTTTCGAAATTTCTATTTTTTGTTTCTTTCTTGTCGTAGAAGTAAACAAATAGTCTTTCTACCTCTAAAGCGTGTGTCTTATTAGATAAGAAAACAAAGCTGTCCAAAACAAACACTTTAAAAATTACGCTAAACTGTCTGTAAGAATTTACTACTGTTTTTGTCACAGATGGACTTACATAGTATAAGTTTTACAAAATTAAAAACTATATGTACCTCAAAGATAAGGATATGTCACCCTTATGAACCCCCGTTTAAAGTATAGTCCGGAGGGAAGAAATTCTCTGGCATTTTAGTTTTTGTTCATCTCTTACATTGTAATCAACATGCATGTGGACCGATTATCCACACCATCAAGTCTGCTTGGAAAAGCAATGACAATTTCAGTTTTTTACTGGATTAATTATTTAACGTAAGATTAAACCAAAAGGTAAGGTGGTTTTATACTGTCTGTGCACACAAACAAAAAAACAAGATGAAAAAAAAACCATTGATAATTACTCGTTTGATCAATAAACATACAAACAAAGGGAAACCAATAGTTATCGAAATACATTATATAGAAAATTAGGAAAAATTAATGTACATGTAAGGAATTTCAACATAATATTGAAATTTTAACCCTGCCTAGATCCAAAGTTTGTGCATATTTTTCTAGGCCTTACCCTTATGCGGAATTAATTTATTTCTGTGTAAGTAAAATCAAGTTACAGCAGTTAAAACAGATATACCAAAATATTAAAGTTGCACATTGAATAACATGTTATGTAACAGAGTAACTGCAACCTATATATCAGTTAAGCAACTGTTTTTGAAAATGATGAAATAAGTTTTACATACATCTGAACTTTAAAAATACAATCAATTATATCGAGTTAAAAGGTAATTGATTATCTTAAATATGATAATTTGTAAATATCAGCATATATGATAATAGTTCACATTAGTTTCAAGTGTCAACAAAGGACTCATAAAATACTATAGAAACCACTTTGCCGAAATTTTGACAAATTAGAAGTGGCACATTTGTGTATTACAGAGTATAAGGTGAAAAAAATTGACATATGTCTGATCATGAAAAACCCCTACACATAATTTGTGTTCAGCAGGTTATGAAAAAAATCCAACTTTTTTATTAAACAAAATTGACTCAACGGGTGACGATCTGGGGTTTGAAGGCTTCGTGTTCTAGTTCAGTTGAATCAAAACAACTGCTATGCTAGAACTTCTTTAAAGTGTACAGAGTTGTCATTTATAACGTACATCAATGAGCATGCTCTTAACTCATTTGATATGACTTTTTCAAGGAAATAGAAGCGTTTCATTTAAACAATAAATGACCAAAATATGCCAAAATATCATAGTCACACGACTTTTATTGTTGTCTAATATAAATGGGGTAAATAAGGGTTAATGTTACGACTAAATTTGGACACGCTTTGGCGTCCTTCATCAACTAGACATGTTTTGGAGATCGGTGACGTCATAAAGACACATTCAAAATTGGACACGTTTGCGGGGATGAACCCATTGCTGAATGCTACATATATTTATGTGAATAAAAACTTATTATAAGTACGTCTTATTCGTTTTGATTTAATTTCTTTTTCTTGTATTTTTTAGCATTTTTGTTTACATTGTCTGTGGTGGTTTAGGTTGTGATTTTTTGTTCATACTACTTTAAAGGAATTTTAGATAGGAATACACACCTGCTACAACAATAGGACATTCGTTATCAACTTGTTCCCTCTGGTGGTGTATATCCAGGATTTTATTACCAAATTCTGTTGTCATTACTTCCCTTAAACTTTCATCCTTTTCAAGTATTTGTTTTATCTGAGTGGAAATCTCAAATAGTCTACTCTTTCGCTGATTATCATCGTTTATGATTTCTCCAAGTGCAAATTGAGCATCAATATTCTACAAAATAAACGTTTTCCTACTATTTTCCGTTCAACCGGTAAAATCCTAAGCACAGAACGTGGAATGGGATTTGAAAATAGATACGATTACAACAAAAATATTCTAAATTAACTGTTCATAAAACTTGTGAATTTTTAAAATACTGAGGCTTTTCTACCTCATGAATACATTACTTCTGCTGCATTTGGCAAAATTTTTAGGAATATTTGTCCTCAATGTTCTTCAATTTCGTACTTTATTTGGCTTTTTTAACCTTTTTTGATTAGAACTTCTATTGAAAGTCTTTTGTAGACGAAACGCGCGTCTGGCGCAAATATAAAGTTTCAATCCTGGTATCTATGATGAGTTTATCTAAAAGTCAGATGGCCTTTAAACTTTAAACTTAAAAAAATCACATTTATTGAGCTACGCGCCCGTGTTGCAATAAACATTAAATCCGGAGACGAACAAACTACTCATTAAGTGCAAGTCTTTGTAAGAATCAGGCAATTGTAAAAACATCAAAACATGGCTGAAAAAATGCCCAACGACCTTACCATCCTATTTTGAAGTTATCTTCATCTTGAGTTAGAAATAGTAGTTTTTTTCATTTCTGCGTGTCTGGTAATTCGAGATATCTCAAGATAACTTTTTGTTAGAATAATAGCAAATAACGGCGTTATCTCCCCTTAATTGTTAATTTCTAGTGCATTTCTAACAAATTATATCTTGAATTACAAGAACAGAAATAGGAAACGAATGTTATGTTTATGCACCATTATAAATTTTGAACATACATTAATGTCAAACTGAATGGGGTTTTGTTTGTCATGTTTCCACCACTGCCTAATTCTTAGGCAGATTGGCACTTAAATACTCGTTTTCCTCTGATTAGACAAGGGACTCTACAGTTTGTAAAAGAAACGTCTTTAGAAAGTTTCGCTTCCTGTTGTATCATTCAGAACGTTCTTTATAAAGAAAATTATGAATAAAGAAAATTTACTAAGCAAAGCTTTGAAGCAATCCTTCCATTCATTTATAAGAGATTATCATTAACAACAATAATTCGTTTTGAAATCCTTGATTTGGAACGTTTGTTCATCCACGTTACAAGGAGAACGGCATCAGCAGCGTCATTCTTTGTAATAAAAATGTGGTAGTGTTTTTCCCTTCACTGAAGACTTTACTTTTTTTTTATAAATGTATGAATGAAAGAAAGGTTTTCCTAAAAAAACATACTCTTTCACATTTTTTCAAATAGCTCCTCATTTTTCCATTACATTATATTTTTTTTTAATCCGTTGTTAAATATAGATAACCCTACTACTATAAAACGAAAGATTAAAGTTTCTGCAATATTATGATATTTTTCAAACATAAACACATTGTCTAAATTAGTATATATGTATTGTTAAATAATAACATACTGTTTGAGTGTGGTTGCATGATACGGAAGCCATATCATCTGTCTTAGTTTAACGATTTACATCATCATCAAACTGAAAAAATAATGCATATAATGTAAAAACAAAGAACACATTTAATTTAACAAACTCATCGAATGGCAGGAGATTTTTTCGGCAAATGTTAGACCCCTGCCCCCAAAAAGAAACTATTAGGAAATTAAAAACCAATTGTTAAAAGAAGATTTAAAGGTGTTTCAACACTTGAATTTCAGAATCATTGATAAGAAGTCACTTTCGGTTTATTCAAAGATACTACTGGCGTCAAGTCATGGTTCTCTTCATACTGTTTCCTAAAATATATGGTTTCTATGGGCTTTTGCCTGAAATAAACAATGATAAAGGAGATTATTTGCTACTTTTGATTAAGAACATGTCACTTCGGTCTCATAATTTAGTTTTTTTTCATACTGATTCCAAAGCTATATGGTATTGATATACTATTGTCGAAAACAAAAGATATAATTTGCTACTTCCCGTTTACAAAAGGTCAGGTCTGGTCTTAAACAATAGATTTATGCATGCCGATTAAAAACATACCCAGTCACGTCCACTCTGTGTTTTTGTTATACGTATTTCTATTTGTATCCATCTGATGAGTTAATAGATATAAGAAGATGTGGTACAAGTGTCAATGAGACAATTCTCCATCCAAGTCACAATTTGTAAAAGTAAACCATTATATGTCAAAGTACGGTCTTCAACACAAATCATTGGTTCACACCGAACAGCAAGCTATTAAGGGCTCCAAAAATGACTACTGTCAAATCATTCAAACGGGAAAACCAACGCTCTAATATGTATAAAAAAAGAGAAACGAAAAACACTTATGAATCACACCAATAAACGACAACCACTGACTTTCAGGTTCCTGACAAATGCAGCGGGTTTAAACGTTTTACTAGGTACCAATTGCAAGCCTTTTTCAACTGATTTTTCTAGTTGGTTCTTATGTTGTACTGTAACACCACTGTCCCAGATTAGGGGAATCCCGCTAACATGTTTAACCCCGCCACATCCTGTATGCATGTGCCTGTCTCAAGTCAGGAGCCTGTAATTCAGTGGTTGTCGTTTGTTGCTGTATTACATATTTGTTTTTCGTTCATTTTGTTGGTACATTAATTAGGCCGTTAGCGTTCTCGTTTGAACTGTTTTACATTTGTGATTTCAGGGCAATTTATAACTGACTATGCAGTATGGACTTTGCTCATTTTTGAATCCGAACGGCGACCTACATGTATAGCTGTTGATTTCTTTGTCATTCGGTCTCGGAGAGTTGTCTCATTGGAAATCATACCACTTCTTTTTTTATATCATTATATTTTTGCGAGAGAGAAGTGCACAAATATCTACATTCGATTGAAACAAGTCGACTTCCTGTTGACGTTTTTCGAAGTAAGAAATCTCCAAACCTAATTAAAAAAAACCTAAAGCTTCATCATGTTCCACTATGAAATGATATCAAAGGTCAAAATCTAGAACGTGAAATGATTGATTGATTGTTGGTTTCGATACGTCTAAGAACGTCAATTGAGGTTTTACTTCATTTTCAATTCGATAGAGGGAAATCTCTTATCGATACACCGTGTCATGAGTTATATCTCCATACTAATTTTTTTTTAAACTTTCAAGAGGAGATTGGCCCAATCTTAATGTTTACTGGTACGACCTGCTAAAACAAACAACATGAACAATCTGGGAAAAAGTTTTGTCATTATTTGGTAGGGTAATGAGGAAAATGCGAAAACATAAAAACTTAAAATTGACTTCCTGACCTTTACCTTTTATCTTGAGCTCAAATTTTGTATGGTGGATATAGAACGTCTAATCAAAATACCGTAGGTCTCTATAATTTCCAGTTCATGAGCAACATTTGTATCTTACTATGTCAAATACAGAAGGAGACTCTCCTAAGGAGTCCCCGTATCTCTTCGGACAAAATAAATGTATTGATGTCCTTAACGGTGGCGAAGTCGTAGACATAGCATGCAAAACAATGTGCAGGGAGATAACTCTCACAGAAGAAAGTGTACGATAACTGATGGTCAACTGCAAAAGCTTATAAATTGTTCGATATCCTGTACCAAAAATATTTACGATAGCTTGCGAACAAAAATAATTATCAACATCAAAAAGAAGCACATGCGTAATGTGGGTCAAAATTTACACAGGGATGATTTCAACAACTCCACCACTTATAACTATTGGAGTAATATCTTCTTTCTTAGCAGCAAACTGCTACAAATGTATCAAGGAAATCAGTATAGGAAACGGAAAACACAATTATTGGTCTCGGAAAGAAATGTTTAAAAACAAAGACGTCCTCGTCATTTGGATGAAGTCATACTGATGTAATGAAATATTGAGAATACTTAAATGTTAACCTTATATTATTGTATAACATTTTGCTATAATTGTGTTGTTATTCATTCTACACAACATAATGTAACATAACTAGTTTCGAACATTTTTTCTATATTTTTCAACTTGAGTCTCAATTATTTATTTTACTTCACAAATTAAATTGTGTACACATCATGTACATACCTCATTCATCTCTTCTTACAGATGGGAAAACTAATCACATAGTACAGTATACAAAGAAGGAAGTTAAAAATAGACTGAGGTTATCTAATGACACTGTTGCTATCGAAGCAGTATTGATTTAACAGTCAATATCAGTTTGATTTATGCAAGTTAACGATTTTATCACGAAAAGAGTGAATACATTTGTAGTCAAAATGGAGTCCACTCAAGATAAATAAAATCATACCCTTTTTAATATCTATTGTAAAAAGGATAATTAGAATACTAAGTACAAGAAAAATTAATGAGTCAGCAACTAAAAACACAAAACGAATTAAATAAATCCTTGTTTACCTGACCATCAATAAAACTAACATGATTGTTTAGTCATAAATGTAAACTGCGGCAATATTTTATCACTTCCATTTAGTAAAATTGTCAATATGCAAATTTTTATGGATCCTGCCAAATGTGCAACACACATAAAACCTTAAAATATGGTATACAAATTGTGGCAGATAGCGTAGTGATGATCCACCTTAATAAGCCTTTAACTAATTTGTTCCTTTTAGATTATCACTTTATTTTCCGTTGTTTATCATCTTTACTTTGGCTACTGGCATTTGAAAATAATGCGTTTTAATTGTTTGTTCAGTACATATCTAATAAAAAAAAGGGTTGTTGGTTTTAAGACCACGTGTGCATTTTCACATAAATGTCAAACGTATATAATATGGAAGCATTTCAGCTGTTTACACTCACAGAGGTTTATTAATAACTGTTTTAGTTACAATGTTTATACATTATCATTCGAATATTTAATATTCATTCATTGAATGATAATGATACATGTCAGCGGTAACGGCAAAACCTCGATAGTTTTACTTGTATATAAGTATAATC